TCAGGTCTATTGGAACGAGTTGGAGGTTGGCTGCTTGATTCACAGCTTCTTTGGCAATGGAGAGGGAAGGGTAAGAATGTTATTTTGTGTGATCTTTGTATCTTTGCTAATTTATTTTATTTGTTTGTTTTAGGTTTACAGGCTGCTGCAGTCTAGATGCCCAATCTTGGAGAAGCAGGGCCGGGCTAGAGCCTTGTCTTTTATGTCTCGGTGTCGAGTGGAAGTGGAGCAGCAGTCTCGATCGTCTGGACAATTTATATTTTAAGTTTTATTTTATAAGTTTTGTATGTTTTATAAGTTTTGTATGTTTTAATATGTGATATACCCTTCCTTTGTCTATGAATTTAATTTGATTAAAGATCTTTGTTAAATAATTATTAATTGTTATTATTTAATTATTAGTGTTTGTTTGGACCTCCAATAGCTTGGTTAGAATGTCCGTCAGTTTGTTTAATTTCGTTTCTAGGTTTTCTACTCGACTTGCTAAATTGGAGTATGAGTTGTCAGCAAGGCTTGCTTGCATAAATGATTGCGCGTCCATGGGGGTGGGGGAGGGGGTGTTTGTAGCTTCTGCTGTGCCTCTGGGTTTTAATAGGGCTCTAGCAGCTAGGCTGGTTGTGGGTGGACTTTTTCGACTGGGGGGTGTTTGTTTTTGTAGGTTCTCTTGGAATTTAGCCAAGTGTCTGCTGGCTGCGTTTTTGTTCCTGTTTGACTGTTGCGGTTTTGAGTTGTCTTTTTTTGACCCTTTGCCGGTGCTTTTTCGCCACCTATTTATCCTTTTTCGTATAGCCGCGTCGTGTGAGGAGGTCCTGGGCTGGAAGGACCTCGCGTCCTTGTTTCTAGCGTCGAAAGGGTTACGCCTTTCTCGTCTTGAGGCTTCCTGGCGTGTAGATGTAGGTGATTTGCTGCTGAAAGCTGTGCTGTAGGGCAGTCTTGGGAAATTTTTTCGAGATGTCGGGACCTGTCGTTCATTTACATTTCTTGCTGCATCCTTGATTGTTCTTATTTTATTGAAATCAATGTTATTTACAGCCAGCTTTCTTTTTTCCGCCTTGTAGGTGGGGCAGCCTTTGTAGGCGCTTATATGTTCGCCTGAACAATTTGCGCATGATGCGGGGGTGGATCTGGGCTTGGTGCATTGGTTGGACAAGTGGTGCCCGGCGCATTTCATGCATCTTGGCGGCTTCATGCAGGAGTTTCTGGCGTGCCTAAAGCCCTGGCAATTGAAGCACTGAACCGGCTCCCTTGTCCTATTTTTGCGCTCCACCTCGATCTTCTGCCCGCCAAGTTGTCTTAACGTGAGGATCTTTTTGTGGCTGCCGTCGATGGTGAAAGAGATCTCCGCCTCGAAGATTTTCATTGGGCCTCCTGTAACTGGGTTTAGCATGTTTTTGGCGAAGATGGTCTGGAAGCCGAGCTTTTGGAGCTCGCCGACTATCCATTGGCAGGGGGTGGAGTGGTGGAGGTGCCTGATGACCACTCTGAAGCCTCTCTCAGACTTAGCCTGATTTGTGTGGGAGGGGATGCCGCTCGAAGTTAGGATATCTTTGATTTTGTTGTGGGCTTCCATGTCTTTGGCTTGAATTCGGATGCCGTTTCCTGTCGTCGATTTAGTTGTAAAGCTGGACACTCCTGCTGTGTAGTTAAGCTTTTCCAGCAACGGCAATATTTCGTTGACATTGTCGACTAGGAGGGGGGGTGGGCGTCTGCTGCGGGGCACTACTTGCCAGGGGGGCAGGCTGTCGGTAGGGCGCTGGGTGGGTGGGGGTATGCTCCCAGCAGGCGCTAGTGGGTTGCAGGTGGGGGCGACCTTATGGCATATGGGTGTGGTGGGTGGGTGTGCAGTTTTGGGTCTAGTTTCCTTGACTATTGTTTTCGCTGTTTTGCTTTTAAGAACGGGTATGGTGAGGGGGGGGGATCTGCTAGCAGACATGGTAGTAGCAGGTCCGCAGGCCCTTTTATTAGGCGTTTTAAAAGTTGAACAGTCGAGGTCCCCGTTTGTCCTTTTCCCGGGAGTTTTCTTCAGAGGTGTTTTGCCGGTGTGTGACATTACACCTTGTTTGGTCCCGGATACGACTTCAGAAAAACTCCTGGGCTGCTCGTCAGTGTTCGTGGGTGTTTGAATAAATAGGCCCCTTCTGGTTGCTGGTCGTTTGGGGGTGCGGGTTGGTGGCTGATTTTCAGCCGTAGGCGTGGGGTTAATTTTGTGCTTTGAGTTAATGTTAAGTTTAGAGTTAACCTGGGCCGAGTGGGTGGGAGGAAGCCTTTTTGGGGGGGGGGAAACTGCTGCCTTCCCGGAAGTTTCAGCAGGCTGTGTGGGTTTCTTTTTTATAGTAGGTTTAGATATGTCCGGTTTGGGATTTGAGTTCAGCAAATAATAGTTGCGAGTTTGTTGGATATCCCCTTGATTTATGTCGCTGCATTTATCTGTGTTTGTATGTGGGGAGATTTTTTTCCCGGTGTCAGTTGCATTTGCTTTATTATTGTGTGAGACTGTGTATTTAAGAGAGGGAAAAATAGAGCGGCTGCCTGGGTTTGAGTTGGTAGCCTTGTTTGTGTGTATGTGTGGGTGAGAGAGGGGAGAGGTGTCGTGGGCACCGATCTTGGTGGAGGTGCTGAGATTTTTCTCCATGCTGTTTTCTCTTTGTGGCAGTGTGGGGAAAATCTCCAAAGCGTTGTCATTGGAGTTGCCTTTGTCGTCTGCGTCCGTATTCGTTGCTGCGGCTGTGTTAGTGTGTGGGGCAATTTCTGTTTGATTCTCTCTTTGGGCATCTTCTACGGCAGTGGGAACAGTAGCCTTAGTGTGGGTTACTGTGGAGAGATCGTTCCCCATGCCTGTGTGAAGAGGGGAAAGCAAAGAGACGCCACCTTTGGCGCCAATGGTGTCTGCATTGGTATTGGTGTGCGAGAGGGGGTTTGCTTGGGCATTCTGGGTGTTCTCACTCTCTTTCCCCTTATGTGTAGGGGAATTGGCAGATTTTATGGCAGTTTTGGGAGGGTATATTACGTTTTTAATTATATTTTTCCCTGACCGCGCGATCAATCTGTCTAGTAGAGAATTGCTGACGCTTACTACAGAGTCGTCTGACATGGACGAGATAATTGAGATGATCTCGTCGTCAGACAAATGGTCAGGAAGTGTGAAATTTGACATGGTTTTTCTTTTTTTTTTTTTAAATTTTAAAATTTTAAAAATCGATACATGTAGGTATAAATACCCTGGCTTTTAATTTGTTGCGGATTCTCAAGTTGTGTCGTCTCCGTTTTTATTCGCCTCCCTGTTTTCTCCTTGATTTGGCTGCTGGCAGTTTTCCTCTCTCTCCAGTTTATAGCACCTCTTCTCCTTTTGGTTGTTGCTGCAGCTTTCTTTGGTGGTGTGGGTGATGCCGAGTTTTCGCGGTTTTAGTTCTTTTGCGTGTGAGTGTCTTTTATTTATGTTTAATTTAATTTTATTATGTTTAATTTATTTATGTTTGATTCTTCACTTTAGATACATTCGCTTTGTGAATAGCCATGGCAGTTCTCAGCTTTTTTATAGCACCTTTGCACCTTATAGTTATGCTGCAGCTTTCTTTGTATGTATGTGTGATGCCGAGGTTTCGCGGTTTGTTTCCTTTGCGTTGAGTGTTTGTTCAATTGTTTAAATGATTCTCCGATTAGTATATGTAAGCTTTGTGATTTGCAAGACTGTTCTTCACTTTTATATTTATTTATTTAATTTATTTAATCCACTTGTTAATTTAATTATTTATTAATTTATTTATTAATAAATTTATTTATTTATTTATTTATATTTTATTTATTTATTTATATTTTATTTATTTAAATTTAATCAACTTAGTTAACTTTTTACTTTGCATGGTGGAGGTTTATACTTTGCATGGTGGAGGGACGGAGCAGAATCAGAAATATTCTGAACCGTTTCCACAATTTATTTGCCTTTGATTACATAGATATGCAATATATAGGTACAAGAATTTACATTTTTGAGTTTAACATTGTGGAGGTGAGTTTTGGAAATGGACAATAATGTTAGTAAAAGGTAAGTATACTAGGTTAGTATTTTCTTTGTACATGGCATGAGTTGGTAACATTAACATATGTATGTTTGTTTGTTTACATATTGAGTTTTGCAAAGCATTTACAAAATTTTAACAATTGTGTTTTTGAATTTAATTTCAGGTACCCCCGCCTGAAGGACGGGAGCGCCGTGTCGCTGGTGGATTCCTGGGTCATCGCCGGAAGAAAAAGGCTGTCTCCCACGCATCCGTCAGTCCTTGGGTAAGTCCGGAGTTCCGCGTCCAGTTCCACTTCGCCTGAAGTGGCTTCTTGGAGCCTCGGGGCCCTGGTTCCGAGGTCGTGGGTCGTCTCAGCAGCACTGGATGGCCTGGTTCCTTGCCGTGGGTTGCCGCCTCCGGCAACCTGAGGGTCGTCGGGGTTGCTGGCGGTGCCTGCGGGTGGGGATACGGCTCCCCACAGTGAGTCATCTGGGTGCCTCTGGGCCGCTGCATTGAGTGGGCGCCGCTGCTGGAGCAGTTGCTTGGAGCCACCAGGCCAGGAATAAATTGTCGTGGTCGTCTCGTCGACAGGATATGAAATACATTCATACAAAATTGGGTGAGTATATAAATATATATAATATTATATGCAGGTGTTTTGCTTGTTTTAATTTTTCGTTCTTTTTTAGCAAGCTGTGTCAGTGCGTAGGAATTTAATCGTCGCATCGTCCAAAGTCGTGGAAAGGATGATTTTAAGATTAGGTAAGTGACTAATATGTATTTAGTTAATTGTTGACTGATTTGAGTTGTATTTTTCCTTATCTTTCAGTCCTCGTCATGGCAGAGAGTGCGTTCAGGGTGAGCTCTTTGCAGGAAACTGTCGCCAGGATGCTGCGACGAATCGAGCAGAGCCCGGTGAGCAGATCGTGCGGTAGGAGCTCAAGTTCAATGTGCGTATTTTAGTTTAATGTGTGTCTGTTAATTTCAGCATTGCGACCTGGGTGTGCCCCTTGCAGGAAGCTGTCGCCAGGATGCTACGACGGATCGAGCAGAGCCCAGCAAGCAGATCGTGCGTAGGTGCTACAATTTCAATATGCAAATTTTGATTTAATGTTGTCTGTTAATTTCAGCTTTGCGTCCTGGGTGTACCCCATGCAGGAAGCTGTCGCCAGGATACTACGACGAATCGAGCAGAGCCCAGCAAGCAGATCGTGCAGTGGGTGCTCCAATTTTAGTGTGAGTATTTTTAATTTAATATTTTTCTTTATTTACAGGTCAACAGGAGCTAGAGATGGTATTGGACTTGGGTAAGTGGCTGTTATTTTTCAATTAATTTGCTACTAATTTGAATATTTTTTTTCTAGGTTTTCAAATATCCGTCCTGTGGCAGGAAGCTCGGCCTAAGTGGGTCCTTTGCAGCATGCAGTCGCCAGGATGCAGCGGTGTGGTCGAGCAGGGCCCGGCGAACACATCTGCAGTAGGAGCTCCACTTTCAGTGTGAGTAGTAAAGTGTCTGCATTTGCATGGCAGTAGTCGTGGGTGCTCCAGTTTAGAGTGAGTATTTTAATTTAATATTTTTCTTTATTTTAGGTCAACAGGAGCTAGAGATGAAATTGGACTTGGGTAAGTGGCTGTTATTTTTAATTAATTTGTTACTAATTTGAGTTTTGCAGCAGGGCGCCCTTTATTTTGCAGGTGTCTTAATTTGGATTTTAATTTATTTTATTTTCTTTTCAGGTAACAGGGCGGGGGGTTGCAGGATGGGTGGCTGCTATTTTGGTGAGTATTTCATTTAATATTTTTCTTTATTTTCAGGTCAACAGGAGCTAGAGGTGATATTAGACTTGGGTAAGTGGCTGTTATTTTTCAATTAATTTGCTACTAATTTGAATATTTTTTTTTCTAGGTTTTCAATATCAGTCCTGTGGCAAGAAACTCGGCCTAAGTGGGTCCTTTGCAATATGTTATCGCCTGGATGCAGCGGTATGATCGAGCAGGGCCCGGCGAACATATCTGCAGCAGGAGCTTCACTTTCAGTGTGAGTAGTAAAATGTCTGCATTTGCATGGCAGTAGCCGTGGGTGCTCCAATTTTAGTGTGAGTATTTTAATTTAATATTTTTCTTTATTTTCAGGTCAACGGGAGCTAGAGATGAATTTGGACTTGGGTAAGTGGCTGTTATTTTTCAATTAATTTGTTATTAATTTAATTATTATTTTTTCTAGATTTTAGATATCCGTCCTGTGGCAGGGAGCTCGGCCTGAGTGGGTCCTTTGCAGCATGTTGTCGCCAGGATGCAGCGGTGTGATCGAGCAGGGCCCGGCGATCACATCTGCAGTAGGAGCTCCACTTTCAGTGTGAGTAGTAAAGTATCTGCAATTTCATGGCAGTAGTCAGAGTTATTTTGTCGTCTCAAGACTCAGCTGCAGGGTTGGTTTAGAACCCTCCGGAGTGTCTTGCGTCGATTTACAGAGAGCCCCCTTAATTTTCCGGCTGTTTTTAATTTGAATTAATTTAAATTTTCCTTTTCTTTTCAGGTCCACAGGAGCGAGGGGTGAGACGCCAGGATGTAATTTAGGAGTCTTACGGCAGGGGTTACAGGTAAGGATTTTGAAGTTTCGGGTGTTCTGAATAATATTTAATTTTTATTTTCTTTGTTTTCAGGTCTATTGGAACGAGTTGGAGGTTGGCTGCTTGATTCACAGCTTCTTTGGCAATGGAGAGGGAAGGGTAAGAATGTTATTTTGTGTGATCTTTGTATCTTTGCTAATTTATTTTATTTGTTTGTTTTAGGTTTACAGGCTGCTGCAGTCTAGATGCCCAATCTTGGAGAAGCAGGGCCGGGCTAGAGCCTTGTCTTTTATGTCTCGGTGTCGAGTGGAAGTGGAGCAGCAGTCTCGATCGTCTGGACAATTTATATTTTAAGTTTTATTTTATAAGTTTTGTATGTTTTATAAGTTTTGTATGTTTTAATATGTGATATACCCTTCCTTTGTCTATGAATTTAATTTGATTAAAGATCTTTGTTAAATAATTATTAATTGTTATTATTTAATTATTAGTGTTTGTTTGGACCTCCAATAGCTTGGTTAGAATGTCCGTCAGTTTGTTTAATTTCGTTTCTAGGTTTTCTACTCGACTTGCTAAATTGGAGTATGAGTTGTCAGCAAGGCTTGCTTGCATAAATGATTGCGCGTCCATGGGGGTGGGGGAGGGGGTGTTTGTAGCTTCTGCTGTGCCTCTGGGTTTTAATAGGGCTCTAGCAGCTAGGCTGGTTGTGGGTGGACTTTTTCGACTGGGGGGTGTTTGTTTTTGTAGGTTCTCTTGGAATTTAGCCAAGTGTCTGCTGGCTGCGTTTTTGTTCCTGTTTGACTGTTGCGGTTTTGAGTTGTCTTTTTTTGACCCTTTGCCGGTGCTTTTTCGCCACCTATTTATCCTTTTTCGTATAGCCGCGTCGTGTGAGGAGGTCCTGGGCTGGAAGGACCTCGCGTCCTTGTTTCTAGCGTCGAAAGGGTTACGCCTTTCTCGTCTTGAGGCTTCCTGGCGTGTAGATGTAGGTGATTTGCTGCTGAAAGCTGTGCTGTAGGGCAGTCTTGGGAAATTTTTTCGAGATGTCGGGACCTGTCGTTCATTTACATTTCTTGCTGCATCCTTGATTGTTCTTATTTTATTGAAATCAATGTTATTTACAGCCAGCTTTCTTTTTTCCGCCTTGTAGGTGGGGCAGCCTTTGTAGGCGCTTATATGTTCGCCTGAACAATTTGCGCATGATGCGGGGGTGGATCTGGGCTTGGTGCATTGGTTGGACAAGTGGTGCCCGGCGCATTTCATGCATCTTGGCGGCTTCATGCAGGAGTTTCTGGCGTGCCTAAAGCCCTGGCAATTGAAGCACTGAACCGGCTCCCTTGTCCTATTTTTGCGCTCCACCTCGATCTTCTGCCCGCCAAGTTGTCTTAACGTGAGGATCTTTTTGTGGCTGCCGTCGATGGTGAAAGAGATCTCCGCCTCGAAGATTTTCATTGGGCCTCCTGTAACTGGGTTTAGCATGTTTTTGGCGAAGATGGTCTGGAAGCCGAGCTTTTGGAGCTCGCCGACTATCCATTGGCAGGGGGTGGAGTGGTGGAGGTGCCTGATGACCACTCTGAAGCCTCTCTCAGACTTAGCCTGATTTGTGTGGGAGGGGATGCCGCTCGAAGTTAGGATATCTTTGATTTTGTTGTGGGCTTCCATGTCTTTGGCTTGAATTCGGATGCCGTTTCCTGTCGTCGATTTAGTTGTAAAGCTGGACACTCCTGCTGTGTAGTTAAGCTTTTCCAGCAACGGCAATATTTCGTTGACATTGTCGACTAGGAGGGGGGGTGGGCGTCTGCTGCGGGGCACTACTTGCCAGGGGGGCAGGCTGTCGGTAGGGCGCTGGGTGGGTGGGGGTATGCTCCCAGCAGGCGCTAGTGGGTTGCAGGTGGGGGCGACCTTATGGCATATGGGTGTGGTGGGTGGGTGTGCAGTTTTGGGTCTAGTTTCCTTGACTATTGTTTTCGCTGTTTTGCTTTTAAGAACGGGTATGGTGAGGGGGGGGGATCTGCTAGCAGACATGGTAGTAGCAGGTCCGCAGGCCCTTTTATTAGGCGTTTTAAAAGTTGAACAGTCGAGGTCCCCGTTTGTCCTTTTCCCGGGAGTTTTCTTCAGAGGTGTTTTGCCGGTGTGTGACATTACACCTTGTTTGGTCCCGGATACGACTTCAGAAAAACTCCTGGGCTGCTCGTCAGTGTTCGTGGGTGTTTGAATAAATAGGCCCCTTCTGGTTGCTGGTCGTTTGGGGGTGCGGGTTGGTGGCTGATTTTCAGCCGTAGGCGTGGGGTTAATTTTGTGCTTTGAGTTAATGTTAAGTTTAGAGTTAACCTGGGCCGAGTGGGTGGGAGGAAGCCTTTTTGGGGGGGGGGAAACTGCTGCCTTCCCGGAAGTTTCAGCAGGCTGTGTGGGTTTCTTTTTTATAGTAGGTTTAGATATGTCCGGTTTGGGATTTGAGTTCAGCAAATAATAGTTGCGAGTTTGTTGGATATCCCCTTGATTTATGTCGCTGCATTTATCTGTGTTTGTATGTGGGGAGATTTTTTTCCCGGTGTCAGTTGCATTTGCTTTATTATTGTGTGAGACTGTGTATTTAAGAGAGGGAAAAATAGAGCGGCTGCCTGGGTTTGAGTTGGTAGCCTTGTTTGTGTGTATGTGTGGGTGAGAGAGGGGAGAGGTGTCGTGGGCACCGATCTTGGTGGAGGTGCTGAGATTTTTCTCCATGCTGTTTTCTCTTTGTGGCAGTGTGGGGAAAATCTCCAAAGCGTTGTCATTGGAGTTGCCTTTGTCGTCTGCGTCCGTATTCGTTGCTGCGGCTGTGTTAGTGTGTGGGGCAATTTCTGTTTGATTCTCTCTTTGGGCATCTTCTACGGCAGTGGGAACAGTAGCCTTAGTGTGGGTTACTGTGGAGAGATCGTTCCCCATGCCTGTGTGAAGAGGGGAAAGCAAAGAGACGCCACCTTTGGCGCCAATGGTGTCTGCATTGGTATTGGTGTGCGAGAGGGGGTTTGCTTGGGCATTCTGGGTGTTCTCACTCTCTTTCCCCTTATGTGTAGGGGAATTGGCAGATTTTATGGCAGTTTTGGGAGGGTATATTACGTTTTTAATTATATTTTTCCCTGACCGCGCGATCAATCTGTCTAGTAGAGAATTGCTGACGCTTACTACAGAGTCGTCTGACATGGACGAGATAATTGAGATGATCTCGTCGTCAGACAAATGGTCAGGAAGTGTGAAATTTGACATGGTTTTTCTTTTTTTTTTTTTAAATTTTAAAATTTTAAAAATCGATACATGTAGGTATAAATACCCTGGCTTTTAATTTGTTGCGGATTCTCAAGTTGTGTCGTCTCCGTTTTTATTCGCCTCCCTGTTTTCTCCTTGATTTGGCTGCTGGCAGTTTTCCTCTCTCTCCAGTTTATAGCACCTCTTCTCCTTTTGGTTGTTGCTGCAGCTTTCTTTGGTGGTGTGGGTGATGCCGAGTTTTCGCGGTTTTAGTTCTTTTGCGTGTGAGTGTCTTTTATTTATGTTTAATTTAATTTTATTATGTTTAATTTATTTATGTTTGATTCTTCACTTTAGATACATTCGCTTTGTGAATAGCCATGGCAGTTCTCAGCTTTTTTATAGCACCTTTGCACCTTATAGTTATGCTGCAGCTTTCTTTGTATGTATGTGTGATGCCGAGGTTTCGCGGTTTGTTTCCTTTGCGTTGAGTGTTTGTTCAATTGTTTAAATGATTCTCCGATTAGTATATGTAAGCTTTGTGATTTGCAAGACTGTTCTTCACTTTTATATTTATTTATTTAATTTATTTAATCCACTTGTTAATTTAATTATTTATTAATTTATTTATTAATAAATTTATTTATTTATTTATTTATATTTTATTTATTTATTTATATTTTATTTATTTAAATTTAATCAACTTAGTTAACTTTTTACTTTGCATGGTGGAGGTTTTTTTTACTTTGCATGGTGGAGGGACGGAGCAGAATCCTTTTTTTTTTTTACTTTGCATGGTGGAGGGACGGAGCAGAATCAGAAATATTCTGAACCGTTTCCACAATTTATTTGCCTTTGATTACATAGATATGCAATATATAGGTACAAGAATTTACATTTTTGAGTTTAACATTGTGGAGGTGAGTTTTGGAAATGGACAATAATGTTAGTAAAAGGTAAGTATACTAGGTTAGTATTTTCTTTGTACATTGGCGTGAGTAGGTAACATTAACATATGTTTGTTTGTTTGTTTACATTTTGAGTTGTGCAAAGTGTTTGCAAAGATTTAACAATTGTATTTTTACTTTATAATTTCAGGTACCCCCGCCTGAAGGACGGGAGCGCCGTGTCGCTGGTGGATTCCTGGGTCATCGCCGGAAGAAAAACAGCTGCTTCCTACGCATCCGTCAGTCCTTGGGTGAGTCCGGGGTTCCGCGTCCAGTTCCACTTCGCCTGAAGTGGCTTCTTGGAGCCTCGGGGCCCTGGTTCCGAGGTCGTGGGTCGTCTCAGCAGCGCTGGATGGCCCGGTTCCTTGCCATGGGTTGCCGCCTCCGGCAAACTGAGGGTCATCGGTGTTTCTGGCGGTTCATGTGGGTGGGGATACGTCTCCCCACAGTGAGTCATCTGGGTGCCTCTGGGCCGCTGCCTTGAGTGGGCGCCGCTGCTGGAGCAGTTACTTGGAGCCACCAGGCCAGGAATAAATTGTCGTGGCCGTCTCGTCGACAGGATATGAAATGCATTCATACAAAATTGGGTGAGTAAATAAATATATATAATATTATATGCAGGTGTTTTGCTTGTTTAATTTTTCGTTCTTTTTTAGCAAGCTGTGTCAGTGCGTAGGAATGTAGTCGTCGCATCGTCCAAAGTCGTGGAAAGGATGATATTAAGATTAAGTAAGTGACTAATGTGTATTTAATTTGTTTGTTGACTGATTTGATTTGTTTTTCCTTATCTTTCAGTCCTCGTCATGGCAGAGAGTGCGTTCAGGGTGAGCTCTTTGCAGGAGACTGTCGCCAGGATGCTGCGACGAGTCGAGCAGAGCCCGGTGAGCAGATCGTGCGGTAGGAGCTCAAGTTCAATGTGCGTATTTTAGTTTAATGTGTGTCTGTTAATTTCAGCATTGCGTCCTGGGTGTGCCCCTTGCAGGAAGCTGTCGCCAGGATGCTACGACGGATCGAGCAGAGCCCAGCAAGCAGATCGTGCGTAGGTGCTACAATTTCAATATGCAAATTTTGATTTAATGTTGTCTGTTAATTTCAGCTTTGCGTCCTGGGTGTACCCCCTGCAGGAAGCTGTCGCCAGGATGCTACGACGAATCGAGCAGAGCCCAGCAATCAGATCGTGCCGTG